GATGTTCTTAGATGTGGGTAAGGGGAAGTAGTTTTCCTTCCCCCTCCCCCCAGCTTTATTGAGGTATAATTGATCAAAAAATGTTGCAAAATATCTTCAGTGTACAATGCCATGATTTGATATCTTGACTGAAATAAAGGTCTCAGTGATCACTGAAGTGTGTTAGATCATCAAAGTGAGTAACCAATCATCAAGTGAGGAAACAATCCAACAATTTACCCCCTACATACGCACCTCTGGCCTTTACCCAGCTCTTATATGCATAAATAAATAAATCTTTATAAAAAACATTTTGGAGTGGTATAACCATAATGCAGAAAACAGGTTAGAGGTTGCTGAGAAACTAGTGAGAGAGAAGAATGGGCTATGAATACCAAGTTTCTTGCAGGGGTTAGGGGGTTTCTAGGAAGGTGATAAAAATGTTCTAAAATCAGCTGTGTTCGTTTCACAATGTTGTAAATATATGAAATTCACTGAGTGAATTTTTAAGGGATAAACTGAGTGGTATATGAAGCATGTGTTTTTAAGAAAATAAAGCAAAATAGGATGACTTTTGATATACATGAGGAATTGGGTGTGTGAATAGCTGTGGGGTTAGCAAGTTAGGTTTGAGTGGGTTGGAAATGCTTCACAGAACTGATAAGGGAATTGGGAAATTTCTTAAGAACATGTAGGGTGACTGCCTAGAACATTGAGGGCCCAGCTGTGGTTGAATAAATTTACATAGCACCCTTTATTTGTGATTTTTTTTTCCTCCAACACCATCTTGAACTAACAGAATTTATCTACATATGGGATATGGGGGAATAGCAAAGGAAAGGAATTGCAGTGTTGGCAAAAGAATAATTGAAATGTAGTCTTGGAATTTAAGACTTGAAAAGGGGAAGTTAAGGGTCAAAGAATAGAGGCTTGGTTAATGAACAATTGTAGTAGAGTAATTGGTAAAATGGTAGGAGATAGTGGTCAGACTTTGAAGTGGATCTTGGTATAGCCAAGTAACATGATTTTTAAAAGAACTGGGAGTTGTGCCTAAGGCTACTAGTATGAAAAATGAGAGCAGAACCTCACCTCCCAGCTTTGATGTGTAAGCCTGGAGAGGGAATATGCTGTACCTTAGGACTTCAGGGAGTTGGATAACATATATAGAGTAAGGTAAGGGCCAACTCTGGAGAACAGAAGTTACAAATAATGCTTTCAGGACTATCCAATATAGTCTTTTAAAAAGAAAAGATTTATTTTTTTTTTTAATGCATATAAGAACTGAGCTGTAGGCCAGAGGTATGGGGGAACCGTTGAGAAGATTCACCAAAGACAGCATGGGGAGCAGAACAAGCAAATCTACTGAAATACACTGCTGAGGGGAGCAGTGGGTGAGACAGGAGAGGTCTGCTGTGCCGTGTGGGTCAGCTCCCTGGCTGGGGATAAAATGCTGCAGTGGCTGGCAATAGCTTAATGGCACTGAAATTTTTTTTTAATATGTTTATTTTTTTTACATCATTTTATGCCTTTTTCCATCTCATTTGTAATCCTCCTAGGCTTCCCATCACCAAATCACCCGTGTGCCATCACCATAGTCCAGTGTACTTCCCCCCCTCCATTTTTGATCCCATTCCCCACTCCACACCCATAAAATGTCTCTGGTATATAGTTGTTCATTTTTATTATTTTCTCCCCTGATCCTTTATACTCCTGTTCTGAGTGAAACCATCCAATATTTTCCCTTTTCTTACTGGCTTATTTCACTAAGCATGATCCCGTCCGGCTCCATCCATATGTTTTATTCCATTGTGTAATACTCCATTGTGTATATGTACCACATATTTTTAATCCAGTCATCTACTTTTGGGCATTTGGGTTGATTCCATGCAGTAAACATGGGGGTGCAAGTATCTTTTTGAATCAGTGTTTTTGTGTCTTTTGGGTAGATACCTAGGAGTGGGATTGGTGGATCACGTGGAAGCTCCATCTTTTTAGCAGTTTGAGAAACCTCCAGCAGTTTTCCATAGTGGTTGTACTAGTTTGCATTCCCACCAGCAGATAGCACTGAGATTTTAACCCCTGTGCCATCGGGGAGGCCTTCACATAGCTTCCCTGTTGAGATTATTCCTTTTGTTGGAAAAGATTTCTAGAAAAGTCTTAGTTGAACATTTCTTAACTTCACCTAATTTCCTTTTTTTGTGTTTATATTGACTAAAGCAATGCTCTGGTTGTGATTTGGCTCCCCCTATTACAACAGAGAGAAAGTGTGTTGATTGGCCAATAATTATTTAGTGTGCTTAAGTTGTAATACTTGTTACAGCTTTTATAATCATCATTAAAATATCTTACTTAGGCACATTGTTTTATATATCAATTTTATTTTCGTAAATGGTTAGAAGAAATTTTGGGGTTTCCAAAACTAAAGTCCAGACCCTGTTTCAAAGTGTAAGGATGAAGATGATACCATTTCTGAAACCTCAGGGTAGAAGTTTCACTGGGTGAGTCCCTTCTTCAAGGAGACATCTGCAAGATGAACCTATATATGTAAACTTCAGTGGAAAATCAAACTTGTATATTTTTTGCCTTTATACATACTTCTCTTCTTTCTGTTTCCAAAGCAGCATTCATTACATTTCTTGAGTGCTTTGCATGGAATTTCAAGAGTGCAGTGTGACCTCTGATAATGTACTGGTACATTATCAGGCACACATGCTATCCTGAAGAGCTTTTGGCAGTCAGTAGCTTGGTAGCCACAATTCAGTTTGAATCTTCCCTCTACCCCTGCAGACCTTTTACTGTGGATCCTGCAGGATCCCTGCCATATCTTGGGAATCATTTTACTTTCCAGATAATTGGACTGGTTTCAGAGGCCTTGGGTTTCAGTGAACTTTTTCCTCATTTCCTTCTTTTGTTGATCTTGGCCCTTTAGCCTTCCACCCACTTATTGCTCATTTCTTATGGACCTGACTACTCAGTAACACTAGAGAAAATATATCTGAAGGCATATGGGTTAAGTAAAACAAACTTAAGAGGGGGAAAAAAGCAAGAAGTGTGCGTTCTCTGAACTTCCTTTGTTTGTGTGATCTGTTTATATGTTGTTAAGGTGGTGTTATCCAGCTGCTTTCCATATTTCACAATGACTAAAGATAATCTGGAAACACTCTGAGAGAGACACGCTGGCATAGTGAAGGAAAAGACACTTCATTTGTGTCTCCCGCCCCCACCCCCCCCAAAATACTGTCATCTCTTGAGATGTGGGAGGGATGCCAAAAGCTTCAGATTCTGATTCTTGAGGTGCCTGAAAGGCCACTTTCCTCTGGACTTCTAATTAAAAATGCCAGGTCACAAGTTCTTTTAAGGTTTGAGGGGACATGCCTGGCTATTTAAATGTTTGCTCGTTACATATAGTTAGGCTGTGTGGAATCTGATTCGTTTTCTTTTGGCCAGATTCTGATCTGCTTTGTGTGTCATGTGAACTAAAATGTAACTACACTTGTGTCAGGATTATTTTAGGAAACGTCTAGAATGAAGTTTCGCAGTATTTGTTCGAGCCCCTTGTGCCTCCGAGTTGCAAGAACCCCCGCATGTAGAACAAATTGTGGTGATGTAGGAGGCGCCTGTCTATCCTCCACGCTCTACCTGCTCAATGGCCAGTGGGTACACACAGATGCATTTTTTTCACATAAAGCTACTTGTGGAATTTGCTCTGCTATACAACAGATTTAGAAGTGAAAACAAGAAAATAAGAAATAAAACATCAGTTTCATCATTTGGGAAGTAAATTACTGTCTAAATTATTGTCTTGAACATTGAGAATATGGCCCGTGTCATGGGTACTTCCGCCTGTTGCTGCCTCAGTGGGGTGGGTCCTCTCCCTGCTTGGGTTGCTGTGTTTTCCTCTTAATTGCTGTTTCACTGGGTCTCCTTAGCAGCGGCACCTGAAATAACTGCTGAGGGAGCTCCTAACTGAATTCTCATAATTTGCTGTTCAATTCTCCCAGTTGATTGAGGCACTCTCTTTTCTTGAGTGGTTTGCAGTTCCACTTAAGTGGCTGATGTTTGGGGTCACTAGTGAGTGTTGTGTTTGAATATCATTTTCATGATGAATGGAAGGCTGCTGCTTTTAGCTATATGAATGGAAGGCTGCTGCTTTTAGCGAAATGAAACCGTGGTGGGAAACCTTGCATGGGAAAAATATTTCTTTGCAATGATATTCTAAATGAAATTACTCTCGTTGTCACATTTTCCTTTATCCTTTCAGTTCAATTGCCTTGAGTTGTTGTGATTTGTTTCTTCAATTAAGCTTAGTTGTTTTCCTGTCCCAGGTGCATGCTATTTCCACAGCTGGTCATTTCTGGAGCATTTCTGACCTGGAAGTGTGGTTTCGTTATCTCTAAACCACATCAGTCTGCCCTCCATCCTCCATTTCCTTTGCATTATTCCCTTCTGGAGGACTCAGTTTGTTACCATTTAATCTAAGGATGATTCACCTGGGACTCAGAATTGGTAATGCTGCAATAACAGTGCCTTCTTTGTATAATTATACTCAAAACACCTACCACCTAAACCTTTCCCTGTTTATGAAGCACTTTCATTTTAATCCTTCACAGCAACCCTTTGGGTTAAGTCAGCAGTTTTGTCTGTGTCCAGGGTGGTGAAATTGTATCACAAAGAGATTGAATTAATTTATTCAGATTTGCAAAGCATTGAGTTAATCTGCTTAACAATTTTTATAGAAAATAAAGGCTACTGTTAAAGATACTGAGTGAACAGAAAGGAATTTTCCAAATATATCCTGATTGTTAAAATTTATTTTTAGTCTGGTTAGTTGAGAAGACTGAGGGAGTTAAAAGCCCATTAACCATCCGTTTTAAATTGATGTATCAAGTCAAGAAAATAAATATTTTGGTCAGTTTGTATTCTACTGTTAATGTGATAAAGTGAAGGAAGACTATTTTTTTAATTAGTGGGACTTCAGCCGGAAGTAATTCAGTCATTTTTTTATTCTCGCTTCCTTTCAGAGAGATGGAAACCTTGATGACTAGTTCAGCCCTACCTCCCCTTTTTGCAGATGAGGACGGCTCCAAGGAGAGTAATGACCTGGCTGCCACTGGGTAAGCAGCTGCTTTGGGACTCTGCGCCTCTGTGCCTCTGCCTATGCTTCAGAACAAAGCTTTCGGCGGTGTAGGAGAGGCCAGAGAGGCAGATATAGATCATAAGAATGGAAGATACAGTTATGTTGGGCAAAGAATGTATACGCATTGACTGTGAGCTGCTCTGTAATCTGCATTTTGATGTCATTTGCTCTGGTTCCTGTGAACTGGAACAGCAACCATGGGTGACTCCTGGTTAAGAGAACTATCGAGTCACCATTAAGGGATGCCTGCCACAGGGCAGGCTCTGAAAACGATGCATTTTCTTTCTGAATTGCCACTGATATTAAAATAACATTTCCCCAAAAGTCTTTTTTTTAAGGTCATGTTTGTTTAGTAATACGGTTATTTATTCAAGATGCCTAGGAGCTTTATATCTGTGTTTTGTTTTGTTTTGTTTCTGCCCCTCTCCTTTCTTTGGTATTTTTAGACAATATGTGAAGGATGCAGGAAAGGCTAATAGCAATAGCCCCTCTTTCCTTAAAAATCTATTTCACTTGATTTTTTTTAATCTTTTCTAATTTTAGAAGTTATTTGCCAAGGAAGAAATGCATTCACTAGTAGATTGAAGTGCTAGCTAATTCCTAAGATGTATTGTACTATTCTTCAGCGCTCTTTAAAAATAGACTATACTTTGTGTTTCCATCTCTCACGTCCATTCTTGCCTCGTTAATATTTGCCTTCTGACCTTACTTATTCAGATGAGTTACTTATTCTCCAAGACTTTTCCAAAGACTGCCTATTTGTAAAACCCAATTCATTCACTATAAATTTTCCAACTGTCTACTATGTGCCAAGCACTCTGTAAGGCACTAGATTTTTAAGGAGTGACTAAAATAGGTGAAACTTCTAGCCCCTATAGAATTCAGATTCCTCCAGAGAAGTCCAATAATAAACAAGATAGATAAGTAACATTCAACTGATAGAAACTATCAATTAAAAAATGAAGTGGGCCCTCCCTGGTGGTGCAGCGGAGTGAAGCATTGCAGTAAGAAGCTTAAGCCACTTCCGCATGAGTTTGATCCCCGCCTGCCCCGGAGGTGACCACATGGCGCGGCAGACCTCTCCTGACCCGCCCCTGCTCCCCTCAGCAGTGTACTTC